AACCACAGTTCAAGTCCCGGACCTGGTGGTTTGCTTTCTCACTTTCCTTCTCTTTGTGTATCTGTCTCTCTCTGGTCAAATGAAAATGATGGAATGAACAAATAAAATGAAATAAATAATTCTTTAAAAAATAAAATAAAATAAGAGTCTCGGCTGCCTATACACACTTCCCAAGGTACCGACCACGCGGCATTGGCGCTAGCGCTGCAGGTTGTGGGAACGGTGCAGGAAGACCAGGTCCCCTAACGGCGGCTGGGCTACTTCTCCACAAACCCCAGAGCACATCAACAAAGCCTCGGTATTAATCTATCAGTGGGGAAACTGAGGCTCGGCACAGAGAGCCTCCGGGAGCCCCAGCGGGAGGCCTGGACCTGTCACTTCCCAGTGTCCCCCACCCACACCTGGCCCTGAGCTTCCGCCAGCGTGATCCCGGCGTGGCCTGGCCGGACATTGGCCTGATGCAACCGGCGAGCCACCGCCAGGCCCTTGCGAAACACGGTTCGCCCAGCTGGCCGGTTAACGATTGCTGGGGTTGCTGGGGGCGTCGGGGCATAAAAGACCACAGCCCTGACGCTGTGGCTACAATCCTAAACTTGCAGCCATGCCTGCGATTGCCCTGTGCGTGCTGTGGGCCCTGGCAACAGCCGCCCGGCCCGCCCCGCCCGTCTCTGCCACCTCTCCCGGGGGTTCAGAGCCAGCACAAAACGAAGAGCTGACTCTGCTTTTCCACGGGGCCCTGCAGCTGGGCCAGGCTCTCAATGGAGTGTACAGAGCCACAGAGGCACGGCTGTCCCAGGCAGGGCAGAACCTGGGGCTCTACGACCAGGCCCTGGGACTCCTGGGGCAGAAAGTCAGCAAGGGTCGGGAAGCAGCCCAGGAACTTCGAGCCAGCCTGGCGGAGATGCAGGTGGGTACTGCAGCTGGGACGTTGTAGGAAGGGTAGGAGTCCAAAAAGGAGTCAGTGTCTAGGGCAGATCAACTTGTCCCGGCTGACCCAGGACCCAGGGGGGTTCCGAGATGCAAGGATAAGCCAGGCATGTCTTGGGCACACACACATACACGTCTGTCATCTTGCTAACGGCCCGCGATCTGTTGACCAGAGGGAGGAGGACTTTCTGCAGCTGCAGGCAGAGGCCACGGCCCGGGTGCTGAGCGAGGTCACCCAGGCACAGTGGGCGCTGTGGGACAGCGTGCGGCAGCTCCAAGGCCAACTGAACGATGCCAGGCTGGGCCCAGAATTTGAGGCCTTAAAGGTAAGAGGCTCTCAGCCCGGCAGGAGGGAGGTGAGACCCTGATTCCCAGCTAGAAGTCACTTCCGAACCTTGGGTCCAGGCGGATCTGCTCCCAAGCTCAGCTTGCCAGTTCTGCGGCCTTTATCTTTGTGACCCTGGGAAAAAGCCGTGTCCCTTTCCGTGCCTTGGTCCCCCACCAACAAATAAAGGCAACAACTGGGGCCAGTAGGTGGTGTGGAGGTTAAGGCAGTGGGATCCCAAAAGACCAACTTGAAAGTTCAAGTCCCGGACCCACCAACTTGAAAATTATATCAGGCACGTGAGATGTGTCTCTGCGGCCTTTATCTTTGTGACCCTGGGAAAAAGCCGTGTCCCTTTCCGTGCCTTGGTCCCCCACCAACAAATAAAGGCAACAACTGGGGCCAGTAGGTGGTGTGGAGGTTAAGGCAGTGGGATCCCAAAAGACCAACTTGAAAGTTCAAGTCCCGGACCCACCAACTTGAAAATTATATCAGGCACGTGAGATGTGCCCGAGCGTGCCTAAGATCCAGAGAGGAGAATGGAGGAGAAGGGACTGCGGTGCGGCCATGCCCCCCGGGGGGTGATTTCTCGCTTTCCCTTTCTCTGTCTCCAGTGAGTGCATGCGCCCTATGGCAAAAACCTAACAAATAGCCTCTCGAAATGATGATATTCATAAGGACTCTTAGTTCACCCCCATTTTACAGATGAGGAGACCCAGGCCAGAGCTGACTTGCTGCATGGCCTAGATGCAATGCGGGGACCCAAGCAGGGTCAGGGGATGGGAAGTGAGACCCCCCACCTTCTTGTCCCTGCAGGCTCAAGCCCACAAACAGAGCCACATAGTGTGGGTTCTGGCCGGCCACGTGCAGCGACAGAAGCGGGAGATGGCGTCGCAGCAGCACCGGCTGAGGCAGATCCAGGAGAGGTGAGTCTGGCGGGCGTTTGGCACCGCAGGGCGGCTAGACCCGGGTGCACAGGGAGGCTGGCAGGGGCGTCCTCGCCTTGCCTGAACCAGATCGCCCTCCCTAGGCTCCACACAGCGGCGCTGCCTGCCTGAGGCCGTCGGAGCAGAACCGAGGACCAGTTATAAAGCGAGGGACAGCGCCAGGATCCCCGCGCCCCTTGCGCACAGAGGAGCTGCCCGCCGCTGGGGTTGGCCAGGGCGCCGGTGCGGCTTCCGGCCCCGGAGCAGAGGCAGGGGCTGGCGGAGGCCGAGGCAGAGGACGTGGCCCGTCGGAGAGGGGCAGAGAACCCGTGTACCCACACACCCGCATTAAAGCAGAACAGTGGCATCTCACCCCGGTGTCTGTGCATGTCTGCCAGGAAGGGGGACATACCCAGTGCTGGTCCCCCAACGCCTCCCATAATGGCCCGGTCGCGTGGAGGACTCGTACCTGTAGCTGGTGTGCGGGGCGTAGACCTCCCGCGCGGGAAACTCCAGGATCTCCTTGGTGGGCCGGCCCCTGGGGTCCGGGTACGGCTTGACATGAAGCAGATCGGGAGACAGGCAGAAGTGGGGGTTCTCGGGAGCCGGGGAAATATCAATTTTGAGCTGGGCTGGGAAGGGGCAGCTGGTGAGCATCTGCCTTGGAGCCTCCTGGCCAGACCCCAGTCTCTGAGTTCGAATCTCTCTGTGGCCATGTCGCCCCCTCCACCACGTCCCCACCTTGACTCCCTCATTCCATCTTAATTCATTTTTTGTTTTTCATCGGGGCCTCCTTTGGAAGGTCCAGCCCCCGAGGCTGGGGGATTTGTCTATCATGGTCACCATTGGGTCCCCAGTGCCGGGTGCAGCAGGCGTTCAGCGCGGGTTTGCTGACTGACTACGTGAGTGTGACATTACTTATTGGTGGGTGGCCTCACGCACCGGTCACAGGCCGTAGGCGTCGTAGCAGGGAGGATGGACGCCGCATGTCAGCCAGGAACTTGAAGAGGTCCTCGTCGCTGAGTCGCTCAGCCTCCTGCAAGGGACCCACTTCCATGAGCTCCACGGGGCCAGGGGGTCCGCAGGGACAATCAGAGTGGCCCCCAGTCCCCCTGTTCTCTGCCTGGCGTCCACAACACCTGCTTAAAGAAGTTGGTCACAGTCAGCGTGGCCGGGCGGAAGCCGGAGAAGCTGCAGACATCGTCCCCGCTACTCGCCCGGTCCTGGGGCCCCCGACGGCGGCGGTCAGTCCAGGCGGGTCGGCGCTCTAGGGAAGATAATGATGTCAGGGGACAGAGAGGAGAGGCAGAGTTTGGAGATGCAGGTGCAGTGCCGGCTTGGGCCAGCAGAGGGCGCGCCGCCCTTCGGAGTCGGAGACCCGGTCCGGCTGCCCCGCGCTGCTCACGATGTTGGCCAAATGCACCGCGGTCCAGGCGAAGGGCATGCGGTAGCGGCCCAGGCGCGTGCAGAACTGCTCGGCCGCCAAGTGCAGCTTCTCCAGCTTCTCCTTGTTCTGTGGGGAGACCCCCGCGCCCGCCCTGCTCAGCGCCCGCCGCCTGCAGAGGCCAGCCAGCTCCGCCCTGCGCCCGTCCCACCTGCTCGGCTCACCTTGGCCGCGTCCACCTCTTTCATCACCATGTAGGGTTCGCAGCACTCGCCGATGTCCCCTTGTTGTAACACCTTTTCCAGCTGCCAGGCGGGCGGGCTGTGTGAGGTGCCGCCTGGACCCCTCTGCCCGTCCGCCCTCGCCCCACGCTGCCCCCCAGTCACTCGGCCACATGGAGTCCCTCGCTCCAACACCCGCCATGGCTCCCACTGTCCCTGGAATCAAATGCTGGTACTTGGCCTACCCGGTGGCTACCCCACACACACACATCTCAGTCCCTATAGCAAAAACCTCTCAAATAAATAAATAAATAAATAAAAAACTTAAGTTTTGGTAAAGAAAATCTGACCTTATTCCTGGAAAAAGAAAATCCTAAGCAAAGGCACCAACTATGAATGGGTCTTTCCCGCCCAATTAATTGAGTAATTTTCAATGTAAAAGGCATTTTATACTTTAAGAACCTCCCACCGATTTCTAGGACCCTGGGGCTGTTCCCTGTACCTGGATATACCCTCTCCCCAGGCTTCCCACCCATGAGTCACCTCCCCATGGAAGCCCTCAGTGATTTTTTTCCCCACTTCAATTAGATCAGGGGTTTCCTCCAGGCTCCTCTGGCCACCTGTGCCTCCCTAACATCCCTGATAACCCCTCTGGGGGACACGTCTGTGTCACTTCATGAAGGCAGAATGCCCCAGACATGTGGCATTCCCCAGCAGGCACCTTGATGACCAGGAAGATGTCAGGTGTGGGGTAGGTCACAGAGAAGATAGCAGAGCGGGCCAGGGTGGAGATGGCGGGGTGGGTACTGTGCGCCCGAAGCAGCCCCTTCATGGAGTCCGAGTTCAGGTCGAAGTAGAAGTTCTCTGAGATCTGGAAACACGAGAGGAAATGGGCCACCTCCTCCAGGAAGGCCTCCGTCCCCAAGGGGAGAAGGAAGGAGAGGAGGAGGGAGAAGAAACAGGGGCCCTACCTTCTTTTTTTCCCGAACATCATACAGGGCTAAGATCCCAAAGATGGGCTCAATTTCTATCTCGAACCTATGAGAAAATGGGGTAGATCTCTTTGAAACTCCCACCATCCATACACCCCACTTCCTCCGAGAGTGGAGTGCTGTGGGGAGCAGGGGGTCAGATCCCTGCTGGGTCTCATTTAAACCTTGCATTTAAACAGATGTTTAAAGGGGCCAGCAGATGGCAGAATGGTTACATCATGGAGCCAGCATGTGGCATGGTGGTTTGGGGCTGGACTCGCACATGGCCGACCGGGGTTCAAATCTCGGACCTGGTAGTTTGCTTTCTCACTTTCCCTTTCTCTATCTCCCTCTGGTCATATGAAAACAAAAATAAATAATAATAACAAATAAAGTTAAATAAATTAAAAAAAAAATATGTCGCTGGACTCCTATGTAGTTGATCATGGTTCAACTATTCCGCCAACTGCTGGTCCTGCAAAAATCTCTTTTAAAAAAAACGTGGGGGGGGACCAGCAGTTAGCGTAATAGCTATGTTGCTGGACTCCCACTTAGTCGACCGTGGTTCGCGTCCCGGACATGTGTGTGCGTGCCCAAGATCCCGAGAGGAGAATGGAGGAGAAGGGATTGTGGCGTGACCATCCCCCCGGGGGGGTGATTTCTCGCTTTCTGTCTCTCTCTCTCTGTCTGGCGAGCGCACGCGCCCTATAGTGAAAACCTCTCCAAAACAAACAAACAAACAAACAAAAAAACGTAGGGGGGGGCTGGGAGATGGCATGGTGGTTAAGGGCGCTGGACTTGGGCCCCCCCCCGGCCGACTGTGGTTTGAGTCCTGGACCTGGCGGCTTGCTTTCTCACTTTCTCTCTCTCTCTCTTGCTCTCACTCTCGCTCTGTCACTCTCTGGTCAAATTAAAATAAACAAATAAAAGTTAAATAAAATAACTATTAAAAAAATTTTTTTACAGGGCATGTGCATGTGCCAGAGACAGAGAGAGGGGTGGGGGTTCTGAGAAAGCACCCCAAGGGAGATGGCCACACCAAAATCCCTTCTCCATCCTTGTCTTGGGATCTGCGGCATGCACACATGCCTGAGGTGTTTTTCAAACCTCTGGGTCCAGGACCCAAACCCCAGAGTCTGTCTGTGGGATCCAGCTGCCTTAACCCCCACACCACATGCTGGACCCTGACCATGCCCTTATTAGTATGCCTATTTATTTCCTCCATGAGAGAGACAGAGACAGCATCTCCAGAGGGGTCCTCATAACACACTCTACCCTCAGCCTCAGCCAGCCCCGATCACGGGGTCCTCAGTCACCCAGAATGCACAGGGAGGCTGTGGGATGCGAACCCAGGACCTTCTCGGGGGCAGTCCAGTTGTATTCCCGCTGTGCCACCCTCTGGCTCCCAAGGGCTTGAATTGAAGAGCCTTTTAAGGGCTTGCTAGAAAGGTATGTCCCATTTTGTAAAAAGAGAAACTGAGGCACTGCGGGTACCCGCCGCCCCCTCAAAAATAACTAACTGAGACTCTCTTTCCTGTGACCGAAGCCTTTGGTGGGCACGGAGACAGCGTTCGGGGCACCAGTCTCCCCGTCCCCCCGGCCCTCTGTCCCAGTGTCCCCGCTGCTCTACCACCCTGGGCTGAGTCCCATCCAGGCTGGTCTGAGTGGCCATCCCAACTGCTCCCGTCTGCCCTGCATGGCTGTTCCCTCCCACCATGTGCCCCTAGGGAAGTATTTTATTTATTTAATTCTTTCTTCCTTTCTTTCTCTTTCAAAATTGTATCCATTGTCATTATTTTATATTGTTTTTCATTTCATTTTCAAAGTTGACCAGAGAGAGAGAAGGCAAGCGAGAAAGCAAGCTGCCAGGTCCGGGACTCAAACTGCAGTCCGCCAGGTGGGAGTCCAGTCACTTAACCACCATGCCACCTGCTGGCCCCTCTTTCTTTCTTTTTTAAGAATTATCTTATTTAATTGTAGTCATTATCATTATTATTTTTAAAATTTGACCACGGAGCTACCGACAGAGAGAGATAGAACACGGGAAAAGCGAGAAAGCAAGCTGCCAGGTCCGGGACTCAAACTGCAGTCCGCCAGGTGGGAGTCCAGTCACTTAACCACCATGCCACCTGCTGGCCCCTCTTTCTTTCTTTTTTAAGAATTATCTTATTTAATTGTAGTCATTATCATTATTATTTTTAAAATTTGACCACGGAGCTACCGACAGAGAGAGATAGAACACGGGAAAACAAGCCACCATGGCCAGGACGCAAACCATGGTCGGCCACGTGGGAGTCCTGGGCCTTAACCACCACACCACCTGCTGGCCCCACCTTTCTTCTTTCCTTTCCCTCCCTCCCTCCCTTCCTGAGAGAAAGAGAGACAGAAAGGGAGAAATCACCCCTTAGGGGGATGGCCACGCCTCAATCCCTCCTCCTCCATTCTCCTAGGATTTTGGGTACGCACACACGTGGTGCTCGGTATGAGGCTTTAAAAAAAAATTATTATTTTATTTAACTGTTTTTTATTTATTTATTTATTTTAATTTGACCAGAAAGGGACAGAGTGGGAAGGGATGAGAAAGCAAGCCACCAGGTCTGGGATCTGAACCGCAGTCAGCCAGAGTCCAGCGTTCTTATCCACCACACAGCCTGCCAGCCCTCCGGTGAAAGTTTTAAGCCGCTGGGTCCAGGACTCGAACCGTAGTCACTACATGGGAGTCCAGCGACATAGCCATACCCTAACTGCTAGTCCTTCTTTTATTTTTTTTTTTTTTTGCTATAGGGCGTGTGCGCTCGCCAGACAGTCAGAGCCAGAGAGACAGAAAGCGAGAAATCCCCCCCCAGGTGGGATGGCCACACCGCAATCCCTTCTCCTCCATTCTCCTCTCGGGATCTTGGGCACAGATGCACACGCGCCCGGTTGGAGTTTTAAGCCACCGGGTCCGAGACGCGAACCGCGGTCAACTACATGGGAGTCCAGCGACATAGCCATACCCTAACTGCTAGTCCTTCTTTTATTTTTTTTTTTTTTATGCTGAGGCTCCCATTGCCCGGAGAACAAAATCCTACACAGCCCCGCGCAGGTCTACAGGCCTCATCTCCCGCCGCCCCGGACACACAGGTGCCCACACTCACGTCTCCCCATCTTTGCTCTGGCTGTGCCCCCAGGTCCCCACCTCTCTTCTCCATTCAGCCGGCTTCCCTGTTGTTGGGGCTCAGCCCAGACGTGCCCTCCCAGATCTGCACCCCCTGCCCCTCATGCTGGGTCAAGAGCCTGCTCTGGCTCCAGAGCCAGAGACCCCTGAGACCCCTCATCACCGCTCAGCATGGTCGTCTCATTCACGCGCTCTTTGTACTCTCTGCATGGCACTCGGCGAGGGTTTGCTGAATGACTACACGACCACAGTTCTGGTTCCCAGCCCTTGTGCTCAGAGCAGGAGGCCCACCCAGGCTCCAGGCCAGAAAGGAGCGTCCCTTTCCTGCCTCTCTCCAGGCAGGAACTCGGGCTGGGGAGGGGCAGGGCCGGGCTGGGAACCAAGGCCACTTCCTGTTCAGCTCTGTTCCCACGCAGGGCTGGCTGCTCCCTGGGGGCTGAGTGTGGGCGGGGCCTGGAGCAGCCGGGATCCGGGTTCAGCGGCACTAGCCTCCCCCTACCCTGGATCCCCGCAGCCGGGCAGGCAGGCCCCGGATGGC